AGCCGACCAATCCTCACTCTGTGTGTGAGGTTGAAATCGACAGAACAACTAAACAGCCAGGCTACAGCTCTGACCGCCCACGCCGTCCGCCAAGGTCCCAGGGAACAATAGACACAGGAGACCGGTTCAATAAAACTCAGAAGCCTCGCTCCGTTGTGTTTCACACGCTTCCTGTCAGTCCGTGGAGAAGAGCTACTGCTGTCAGATCGAACAGTTCTTGGATTAATGGAGCACCAGGTCTCCTTCTGCTGTCATTTGATGACAAACTGCAGCTGTGACAGCACTGATGGCAGCAAAATATAAAGAGCCTGGAAATAAAGGTTCACAGTCAGTCACTTTGTTACTAGGGATCAAGTTATTTTAGCTCCCAATCTGATCCGAGTCATTTAATATTGAGTATCTGCCAATTTTATTTATTTTTTGATACAGTGCACATTTCAAGTACATTAAAGTTATTCAAATCAATCCAGTGTATGTACCTAACAATTCAAAAGCTCTGTAATGCATCAGGGAAAAATGTCTGCATCGAAGTTTGCAATGTAAAGTTTACAAAATATAAGTATAAAATTGGGGAGTTTCTATCTTAAGTGATTGTTACTTCAGTCTGAGTTTGCTAAATGAATTGTCTTTATTCTGCTGAGTGTTTATTACTGTCATTTTCGCAGAATGTCTTTTGCGTGGATTGCATTCATTAATTACTCTTATTAGCTTTTTGAGCGCAGGGCTTTTGTTGCACTTGTAGTGGCGTGTTGAGTGTGGCTGCGTCAGCTCTCTACCACTCTCTAATCCGAGCAGGGGCTGGCACTGCTATCACACTGACACAGAGCAGAGTAGAGAGGCAGAGAAAGTTGACAATGACTGCAACGTGCATAAAAAAGTTGTGAGTAAAAACAGCTGATGTAAAACAAAAGATCGGATCGGATCAATAGAGCTAAATATAGCCGATACCAATCGGTTAAAAAATGCCTTGATTGCTGCTGATACCAGTCATTGAGACTGAAACTGGACATCACTAGTTACTAATATCCAAGACCCGACCTGAGACCCAAGTCAGGGTAGAACCTGATCCAGAACAAACTAGAAGGTTGTGTTTGGTTTGTGATTATGGAAAGTGAGGGATGTCATATGTGTATAGCACTGCAGCTCAAGTTGACTGCTTGAACTAGTTAGCAGGCATCGCTCCATTTGTGGCTAACATGTTAATAAACGGCTGCCTACTTCCACATCCAGCAGTCACAGAGCAACATGATCGTCCCACTGGAGTCATGTTTCAGTCCACATGATGAATCTAAGTTCACTCTCCTTTAAGCTCTGGTCTCCAACAAACAATCCACCATGATGAACTGCTGTGTTTCTACAGTAGTTTGAGTGTCACCCCCTTAGCCTGTCACTCTTCGCACTGTCAGTGGCAAATAAAGGCAATAAAGGGGCCAATAATACTTAAAAAATAAAGTTCTTTAAATATGTCAGGAAATGTCATCCCTGAGTCAGTATTTACATGAAATAATTGCCTAAAAATTCATCCAAATTGCTCGTTTTGTACAAACTTCTCTGCACTTATTGCGTTCACTATTTGGGTTCATTGTACAGTTTATCAGTTGTTCAGTTGGTATTGTTATGCATTGAATATAATGTGAATTATCCATAAAATATGTCACATAGTCAGGGGTCATCAGTTTACATCATGAACATCAATGGATCCCTCACGGAAAGAGGTTGGAAGCCACTGATCAACATGGACAGTCATCAACATCCTTAGCATAACATGACCTTCGTTAACTGTTAATTTATGTGCTGTTTAAAGCAAATTAGTTCAAACGTGAAACCATCGGTACTTGAAGAGAGCTTTCTATTCTGGATTTTACTGTAATGTGTGTGTTTTTTATCCTACAGGGCAGATTGTTTTTTGGTGGATCATCTTATTATGTTAAATGTTGACGTTGCAGCTTGTGTCACCACAGAGTTATCATGATAACCGTGTTTGGAAATAATGTGGAGTGCAGATGTTAATTCTGTATCAACACAGATCCTCGGAAGTGAAATGAAGTGAAGCGGGGGATGGAAAAGATGAGGTGGTGGTGGTTGGGAGGGGTTTCTACACCCTAAGGCAAGCTTTAGTGATTCATCGCCATGCTGATGTGATTTGTGATGCTTTTATTCATGTCGAGGAAGGAAATCGGGGCAGGATAGAATCAAACCAGCACCCACTCACTTCATTATGAATCTGTTTTCTTTTTTTGTTGTTGTTGTTCTGCTCTTTAACTCCAATCTGCTACTATTCCTCTCGGCTTCAGCAGCTCCAAACTAATCCGCTTCAAGTTCGAGACTCTGTTGCCCCCAATGTTAAATTTGCCCTGTAGCTAGGAATACAGCACTACTGTACACAAACAACACAATGCAGTGAATACAGGAGCTGAAAGAAAAACTCAGAGACGGAATATGAAAACAAAACATCAAGTTTAGGAGGATTAACTGAACGTCCAAGTGTTCGTTGAAATGTTCAAACGGTCCAAACACTAAAAAAATCCAACATTTTGGATTCCTTATTGTGATGCAGGCATGTATGAAGAAAAAGATTATAGGCTATGTAAAGATGTATTGTGTCTCAAACCACTTCCAACAAATCCAACAATCCGATTCCAAACCATCTTGAATGGTTCTTGGATGCAATTACACCTTCCTGTTATGAATATTAGAAAAATGGGTAAATATTTAGCTTAAAAAAAGGAACAACATATAAATTTACATTGCAAAATATAATGCATTTATTCATTTATTCATTTCTTTGAGGGATGTTCAACAGCTTGTTCACATTTTCTTCCCATTCTGTTCTCACTGTGTCTGAGAATTTTCACAGCTGTCCTTTTTGCTGTTGACTCTAAACTAAAGTTATCACACAAAATTCATGTCAAATCATGTCAAAAATTTAAGAAAAATCCATTCATTATTGATTAACGCTTATGTTTTGAGTATGACAGATGAGAAACCAGTATAGGATAATAAAGGTATGTAAAACATCTAGATTTTATCAATTTACCTTTTTACAATGTGTGATGAGAAGTAATGATGGAAATAAAAACATTTGAGTCTGACTGAAGTCACCAGCTGAGATGAAAAGTTTTTAAATCTTGCTTTCAGGTGTATTAATAAACTGCTGGCTAAGTGTGAACAGTGTCAAACAGCATGTGATTTTAACTTGGCAGGATAGATTTAGTCAATATGGCGACAAGACGTTTGTGTGGTCGTTTTGGTGATGAAGCGCCAGGAAAACTGTGATAAGATGACTCAGACTGAAAGGGAAACTCAAGACGAAACTAGAGGAAATAACAGCTTACTGCTCCAAAAGACAATGTAGACAGAGATGTGTTTTAAAATATATATAAAAGATATTTTGTTGAAAAAGGTACAATGCACACTGATCACATCATGTAGACTGCGTTGCACAGGACAGTTGAAGCCAGTAACACACACCGGATGAATACAACACATTTTTCAGTAAGTAGTCAAGGCAAGGTTGGCTTACAATCGAGGCAAAGGAGGTAACTCCCCCAGGGCTGTAGACATTTAGAGGACCTCACAACTCTAGGTAAACTACAGGGCTGTCCCTGAGTCAGTTTACTCAATGATAGAAAAGGGGTCCCTTAAGGAAAAAGGTTGGGAACCACTGATCTAAATGGACAGACATCAATATTCTCAGCACACAGTAGGTAAAGTATGTGTTGTTCAAAGCAAATGAGCTAAAACACATCAGTATGGTCGTTGAAGAGAGCTCTTAAAGGGACATTTCACCCGTGGAAATGTAACATAAATTTTGAATT